TATATATATATATTCTCATTTCTATAATTTCTTTATATTCCTGTATAATAACTAGACTTTCAACTTGCTACCAAAATGCATTTTCCATTCAACGAAGTAAAATTTTGAACTAATTTCTTAAAATATTGATCTTATTATTGGACAATTTATTATCTCGTTATTTATTGATAGATTTATTGTAACTGACCTGTCACTCCTATACTGGTTATCCGTTCGTCTGAACTGATCATATCGACGTCCGATTGACCTGTGCGATCTGGAATTACTACATTAATCTTTGTTATTACACAGCACAAAGTGTTGCCACTGCTAAATCATTATTGTCTGTAAATTTGAATGTTTGTTTCCCTTCTTATATATTAAGAGACATATTTCTATATTTTAGCGTGAATAGAATTTCTTTTAATTTAATGTATCACATATTAATTTTTTATACATGATAAGAAAATTACAAGAAGTTTTATAGACATTTATTTATTATAAATTCTTAAAATATTTTCTATTGTTAGATTTTTCTTTACAAGATGTGTATTCCTTATTTAAAAAAAAAAACTAATTTAATTAATTTTGGTTTAAGTAAAACAAAATTTAGCAGTGGCTATTGATTCAGCAATGAATCGCAACATGTTAATTAAATTAAGATCACAAATGATTGTTGCGCAAGGATTACTTTACATTTCTTCCTCTCTTTGTTGATATTATAAAATTATAATATCGATAATTTTTTTTGTTTTGAAAATATAACAATGTTAGTATATATTTAATTAAGTAACTCTTGAATAATATTTAATTCAAACAACTTTATATCCATAACATATCCCATATATAATTGAAAATAAAAGATTAAAGAATTACAAGATTTATAATAAATGCTTCATTGTTCAATCCGTACAATTGTGTCCATGACAATATCCAATTGTCAAAAATAAATTTAACAATTCTGAAAAATATGTATATGTGTCCATGACAATATACAATTGTCAAAAATAAATTTAACAATTCTGAAAAATATGTATATGTGTCCATGACAATATACAATTGTCAAAAACAACTTTAACAATTCTGAAAAATATCCAGATACTAACAATGGAATACTCGTATTCAATAAGCGATAAAATAAAGGAAACACTTGTTTCACATGAAATGGATTATATTTATTGTTAGTTCAACCAACTTTATATCCATAATATAGCCATATATTAATTATATTTATGGCTATCAAAAATGATTTAGAAATATCTTCAATTATATAATATGTGTATTACATATATATATAATGCAATACTTATATTTATATTAATTATAATTTATATTTATATTAATAATAAATGAGAGAAGTACTCAAATACATTGCTTTTTGAAATGCTATAAAATATTTTATTTGTTCAGTCTATATTTTAATATTTTATACTATCATTATGTGCATTAACATAAATTTTGAACATATTTAATATTTTAGATGTAAAATCTGACGAATTTTTAATGCTAGAATAATATTCTTCATTAAATCCAATAAATTTAATACTATATAAATATTCGTTTATGTTAAATAAAAATTTAATACTGAAAAATAAATGTTCAAGAACATCTATACTTTCATGTGAAGATTTATTTTATAAACCAATAAACAAAAATTTGCGTGTGTTATCTGAAATAAAGTCTTTCTTTTCAAAAAATGTCGAAATTTTTATCATTTTTTATATATATAATTTCGCTTTCAAAACTATTTTTGTCCAGATTATTATCTACCAGATATATTTTCTCTTTTCTCTCTAATTATTAAAAAGTTTATTTAATATTGAGCTATTTATCCGATATTTGGGTACTTTTCTCCTTCTCTTTCCTTCTCCCTTTCACCTTTTCCCTCTCTCCTTCTCTCTCTCTCATCTACATTAATTACACACATATATATGGAATGTTTTCTTACCCATTATGCAGAGCTTACCTGTTATGCGAAGCTTATTTATCCTATTAAAAAAACTTGTTGCTCATCACTGAATAATTTCCATTTCGTTCTTAAATATTTTACTGCAAATTACATTCAAAATACTATAAGTTTAGAAGAAAGAAATCATTTGACTAAAGATTATATGTATAGTTTCAACGACTTAGTTTATTAATTCAGTTCATATTAATGTCTTCATAAATGATGTTTTTCTTATGAAGAAGGAAAGTAACAATGGATGAATATATACTAAGATAATATATATGAATAATATATGCACATCAAAGTTATAATTATATTCAGAAGTTAATATCTATGAAGAAGGGTATTTTTTATCAATAAAAATATATGAGATGCAGATGAAAGAATGTGATAAAGATTAAATAGACAAAAGAGATTACAAAATACAGACTATATAATATATGAAAGAATATAAGAATATAAAGTAAAATAGAAAAGATAAAGATAGTAAAGCAAATAACTCCATAGCAATAAAAAAAGCAAGAATCGAAGCTAATTGCTACATTAGATATATCATCAATGATTCGATATATATATATATATATATATAAGCAAAATGCCAATTATTGAAATTTTTCCTTTGAAAATCCATATATCCAAATAGTTCGTTCTTCCGGTCTTCCTGTGCTGCAATATCTGGTTAAAAAATGTTGTTAGAAGTTCAGTAACATATATTTTGGTTTTCCTCAAATGTTCAGGCAATATTCTTGACGGCATATAATTCTTAATTTTTTTAATGATGATCAAATTGTTCTTATCTTGCTGTCTTGTAAAATTGAATATATTCAGATTGTAGACCAAGTCCAGATTTAGATTAGATAAACATTTAAATAAACATTTGTAACAGTAATTGGATGTTTTCTATAGATGAATCCAATTGACTATTTGTCTTTCTCATTTTGAAAGCAATTAAATATGTATGTATGTGTGTGTGTGTAAGCAATAAATATATTGTATATATCCATATCAACTTACGATTATATTTATAACACTGTATAACATGTAATGTTATAAATTCAATAATACAAAATTATATAAATTCAAGAAGAAACAGAAGCTTCTAATTTTACTGTTAAGAAATTTGTATCAAAAATGATGTATAAACAATATAAACTTTCAAATTATATTAAGTTAACAATACATGTGTATTTTAAACACATATACGATGAAATATACAGGGTAAATCATTAAAAGTATTACAGATTAATATTTCTGAAACTAAATGAGGTATGAAATTCTTGTCAGCGATTGTTTGGTATTGAAATGGGCATTTGATGCAAAAATGCATCACACAATGCCCGCTTCGATACCAAATAGTTGCTGGAAAATAAGGATTTTATATCTCACATTCAGTTTCAAAAATATTATTAGCCTGTAATATCTTTTTTAGTTCACTCTAAATGTAAGCAATACTCAATATATATATATATATTTCATTATTTATTTATAGCTATATATCTATTGTTGCCATTCTGAGCTTAAGAACTCATAAATAGCTCTTATAATTTTATTATTATTATATTATCTAATTTCGAATAAATACCTATACTGAGTGTTTGTTTTATATGTGTTGATAGATGTACTTTCCCAGGTATCGCTGCTTTCTTCATCTGATAATTGTTTCTCTGGAACTACCAACATAATCCAAATATTATTTTTATCATTTATACTGTTATCATATTTAATTTAAAATAGTGAGAATATTTCCTATTAATTACATAAATACAGGATTCTTTAACATTATTTTATTAATAAATGGTTGTATGTAGGCATATGTATGTTATTAAATTTATCATTATATCTTTTTACATGAAAAATTTTTACTAGTACCAAAAGTAATAAAGAGATAAATCATAATATCTTTTATAAGAATAATGTATTATGGTTATTCTAGTAACTAAAATTATAAGATCTATTATTATTTTATCATTATTATTGTTTATTATAAAAATGGAATATTTCTTTTTTAGTGTGTGCACTGTTTTTTTTTTGACACTACATATACACTAAATTATTAATTAATAACAATAAAATTATTTTGATTATTGCTTACTTTTATGAAAATATAAATAATACAAATACCTAATTTGTTGTCTCGTACGAATCTGATCCTTTGCATTTCATCTTGTGCTGTTTTCCTTTTTTCAAATATTGGACGTAATCCTTCATCTATAATTGATCACTTTTTTCAGTCAGTTAGCTGATTGTATACATCATGCATTTGTTACATCTTGTTACTTCTCATTATATATTTAGATTTTAATTATATAATATTACATATAATTATATATATGTTAATCATGCAATATGTTGAAGTATTTTATATAGTTGAGTATCATAAAAAGATTAAAGAAAAGAGAGAAGACAAATTTATATTGAATAATGCTTTACTTTTTCTTCTTGGAAGAACTATGTCATCCGGATCAATATTTCGTTCAATCTTGTTCTTTGATGTGTCTTGACTCCTTGTTCGATGATCCTTTTTTTTATAAACATCTATCTTGATTCTATGTAACTCTTTTTCATCAATGATTGTATTTTTTTGATATTTGGATGACGACATTTTCGATCTAAGAGTATTTCAAAAATATTACATAAATTTTACTTTCCAAAATATTCTTCATGAAGAAATTAAGTTTATATCACAGTTATATTTTTTATATTACTACACTCTTTATATGTTATATAATTTCATATATATTATTTATATTTATAAATTTGTTATATTAAATTTAATGTTTTGTGTTAATAATATTTATAGTTTATAATTAAATAATTTTCTATATTACTCTTCAGGATATTTATAATCAGTAGTTCTTCGCTGTGGGTTATTGCTCTTGCTACGTTGTAAAACTCTTTGCTTCTGATGAATTTTCAATGCCTGAGCCCGATTTCTTTCATACTCTTCAATCATTTTTGACTTTCGTGCTTCGTGCTGTCTTTCCATCTCTTGTGCTATGTACCATTGCTGTCTTACTTGCCATAGTCTTTCTTGCTTATCTTTTCTTTCTTTTTCTTCCAATGCTGATTTTGACTTCTCTCTTTTGTAAGAATTCATTGTTATCACTGTTAAAAAAAATAAAATCTTATATAGCTACCATGATAGGAAAACATTTATAAAATTATATGACAAAATCTAACATGAAATTCATGATTTACAATTATATAGATATATTATATTTTAAAAAATAAATGTAAAATTTTTCTTTTATAAAATATTGATAACTGTTTGCACAATTAATTTCTAAATAGTATTTCAGCAAAACTATGATATAGTGAATCATCTTATTGTTAGCAGTATATTTGCAAAATTAAATTTAGAAAGAAATAGTTCAATAATTGAGAAATATATATCAGCTATATTGTTTAAAATGTATAAATATAATTGTGCATGAAGGAATCAAATTAATATGCTTATAATGCTTATATATATATGCTTATAAAAATACACAATTATTCCTAAATTATAATATAGAAGTATTGCAACATAAATTATTACGTATTAAATCTAGGTTCCAAAACCGGTGTAAAATTTCCTCTCCGAGGAAAATTTGGCTCGATGACTGTTCCAAAACTTTTTTAGGGGCTGCGCATAATAAAAGAAATAAGGGACAGGGAATAGCATTAAACTATATACAATACTGGAATGCGCACGGCCATGCCCTCTCCACTGTTAAGGCACCTTTACATGGCAGCGTTAAGCGTCGAGCGTCTGCGTAGAAAATTGCGCAGAATCTAATTTCAGCCTAGAATCTATCTCTTTTAAATTCTGCGCATTTTTCTGCGCAGACGCTCGACGCTTAATGCTGCCATGTAAAGGCATTTTTAAAGCGGGGAGCACACACTTTTGCATAAGCGCACAGTCATAAGCATAAGGAAATTGATTGGTCCATTTCCTTATGCATAAGGAAATGGACCAATCAATTTCCTTATGCTTATGACTGTGCGCTTATGCAAAAGTGTGTGCTCCCCGCTTTAAAAATGCCTTTACATGGCAGCATTAAGCGTCGAGCGTCTGCGTAGAAAATTGCGCAGAATCTAATTTCAGCCTAGAATCTATCTCTTTTAAATTCTGCGCATTTTTCTGCGCAGACGCTCGACGCTTAACGCTGCCATGTAAAGGCATTTTTAAAGCGGGGAGCACACACTTTTGCATAAGCGCACAGTCATAAGCATAAGGAAATTGACCAATCAAATTCCTTATGTCCGTATCAGACTACGCATTGAAGATTGAGATTGAAGATCGAAGATTGAAATTTGACCAATCAGGACAAAGAAATTTTAGTCCCTTTTGTTCTGATTAGCCAAATTTCAATCTTTAATCTTCAATCTTCAATTTTCAATGCGTAGTCTGATACGGGCTTTAAGCCTATAGCCTATCCTATAGCCCGGCTTTAAAGCCCGGATCAATTAATCACTATATTTTACTATGAATTCAAGCCTTTTATTGGCAAAGACGATGCAATGACGCTCTCAGAGCGATTAAGGGCCACCGCACAAGCTTTTCTATAACACGTTACGTTACGTTAAGTACTGACTGTAAACCTAAATTCATACGTAATCTTAAACTTCAGTCAACGCACAAACAAAATCGTAACGTAGTATGCTTTTGTTACGTTGCGATTTTCTCTGTGCGTTGACTGAAGTTTGAGATTACGTACGAGTTTAGGTTTAGAATCAGTACTTAACGTAACGTAATGCATTACGGAAAAGTTTGTGCGGTGGCCCTAAAGGTCAATTGCTCGGAAGGTGATTGGGAATCCAAAAACAAGAAAAGAAGTTGATATGAACATAGGTCCGGAAATGCGTTGTTTTTTAATTATGGTCATTTTTATGTTGAAATTTCAAATTGCTTTGCTTTCGAATTTTTTTTGTCAAAATTGAAAGAAGAGATGGTTTTTATGAGTTTTATAACATAATTAAAGTAAAATAAAAGTTGCGGACTGCTTTAGCACTACCCAGGATAAAAAAAATCATAATAAAAAAAATAAAATTAAATTAATAAACACAAAAACTCTTTCTACTTCCGATAAAAAAATTTGAAAGCAAAGTAATTTGAAATGTCAACATAAAAATGGCGATAAATCGAAAACAACGCATTTCTGGACCTATGTTCATACCAACTTTTTTTCTTGTTTTTGATTTTGTCCCCAATCACTTCTAGAGCGATTGACCTCCGTTTTTGAAACACAGGGTGTCTAATTAAATCTCAAAACTTCGGGAGAGTGTAGGAAATCGATAAACTAACAAGGAACATTTGGCAACGCAAAAATTCAAAAAAATCTGAAACTTTGCATAATTATAGAGTAGTAGTCGTTAATAACAAAACGATTTTTTGTTGGTGCTTAAAATCGGTTTCAAGGGTGAAAACAACACCTTAGAAAAAATCGGTTTTTACATTCCGAAGCGAATATTATTGAAACAAAAAGAAATATGAAAAAATTGTTTAAACAAAAGTTTTATGGTTTCAAATGTATTTTAATATAATTTAAAAATTTTTTCAAAATATCAAAGAAAAATATTAAGTGATGAGAATATTTCAAAAAATTTACCATTTTTTAAAAATCCAGATACGCCATTGTAAAGTACATTTGAAACCATAAAACTTTTGTTTAAACAATTTTTTCATATTTCTTTTTGTTTCAATAATATTCGCTTTGGAATGTAAAAACCGATTTTTTCTAAAGGATTGTTTTCCCCCTGAAACCGATTTTTAGCACCAACAAAAAATCGTTTCGTTATTAGCGACTACTACTCTATAATTATGCAGTTTCAGATTTTTTTGAATTTTCGCGTTGCCGAATGTTCCTTGTAAGACAAAAAGTCCTTTAGAGTTTTGCTCGCTTTTGTTTCTTTTTTTGCGATTTTACTCAAAATGAAGTAAAAACAAGCAAATTTCTAAAGGACTTTTTGTCTTACAAGGCGACTACACGACGTGGTATCAACCGATTTTAACGAAACTTGTTGTAGCGGTAGGTTTTCATGTCAAAAATGGTATTGGGTAAAGGGATAAGATGCAACTCTCAAGCGTTTGCGAGAAAATCGAAATTAGAAAATCTCGCGCGCTTTATGAGCAAATAGAAGTGTTTGATCGAAGAGTGTGTGGCACAGCTGCAGCGTGCCAAACTCGTAGTGTCGATTGCTGGTTCGAGTCCCGATAATTTTTTTTTTTCAAGATACAATACGTTTTGTCTATTTTTTGTATATTACAAAGTTGCATTTTTTCGTTTGCATCCTCTGCCTAAAAAATCCGTTTGTGAAATAGCCGTACGATAGAAATAAATAAAAGTAATTACTGACTGTGTTTCTAAACAGCAATGACTGCGAATAGGTGATTGCCATAAATAAACAACACAAATATGTGAGACATGTTTTATTCATTGGTGGAAGCAGATGAAATAATACACATTGTAGGATGATATTTGTCATAAAAACAAGCGAAGCAATAATTCGCACGACATCTTGCGCATCGTATAAAAGTTGCATTTTTACAATTGCATGGTTGTTTTAGAATATCAAGCGGAAAACATACCTCATTAACATTCATAAATATTTCTCTCTTATCTGTCAGTTTTGACGCAAACCATGCATACCGTAACATATTTTCAAATATCGGAGCGGACAGTTGGTGATGTACGATTGCATGAATTTTGATGCAATCTTCACGAGATGTTATTTCGCGTTTTTGCTCTATTAAAAACGAACAATTCTGTAGACGCTTGATCAAATTTTTTACTTGCCTATAAAAATATACATCGCATGGTTGACATAATGATGTGCATTTCGAAGGAATGACTTTAATGGTACATGTTCCTATACCGTCATCGTCCAGAAAAATTTTGTCATACAATGCAGGATTTGTTTGACCGTCCCATGAATCTATTAATAGGAGAAATTTCCCCTGTCTTACATACGGTGCTAACATTTCTTTTAAAAATTCTGTATATAAATATGTTATTAGTTTTCCGGATTTCGAGGATGTTATTACGACGTTTGTATATATTTTGGCAAATTCGTCGACAGCTTTTCTTATTTTAGGATCGAACATACCTGTCGCTTCTTGTAAACATATAAACACACGCGGTAATAATTTCCCAGACATGGTAATCGCATATTGTGCTGTATACGAATGACAGATTCTATTGATCCTTTGCCGTTGTACGAAAATTGCTTTCGCCTCTTGCATATACAAAGCTCTATCGCATGTCGATTGATACTGACATTCTGCAATATAGTCATATTGATTATACAGGGTGTCCCAGCTAACTTGACCACCTTGAATATCTTGCTTATTTTTAATGATAGACAAAAGTTGTTTGGTTCTAAGGGGGTTATAAGATGGTGCCATTAGTTTGACCTTGAAGAGTCATATGAAGGTCACGTAAAGGTCATTTTGAATTTCTTAAATGGAACACCCTATATATTTTTGCATATTCTGGTAGCTTACTTCAAGTGCTTTTCAAAACAATATAATAGAGTATTTTTTTCTCAAAAAGTACTTAATAAAAAAAATACTTTATTATAGTGTTTTGAAAAGCTCTCGAAGTAAGCTACCAGAATATGCAAAAATATATAGAGTGTTCTATTTAAGAAATTCGAAATGACGTTCACGTGACCTTCATGTGACTCTTCAAGGTCAAACTAATGGCACCATCTTATGACCCCCATAGAACCGAACAATTCTTGTCTATAACATTTCTTTCTATCATTAAAAATAAGCAAGATATTCAAGATGGTCAAGTTAGCTGGGACACCCTGTATGTTATATTGATATACACAATTGTAAATATATTACCAATTAGAAAGTAAAGTTACAATATATTTTATGTCATTTTGTACAGAAATTATGATTTACCTGTTTGGTTTATGTTGATGATAAAATCCTTGTGAAAATTGGGAATTAGTTTCATCGTCTGTTTCCGGAAGATGTCTGCTGCAGCCAATATCTCATCTATTGTAGCAGTTTCTTTTGCGGATACATATTTCGTGATCTCTTGTTGTTTGATTTTGTGCTGCTTTTTAAATTTTGCGATCCACGAATTAGATGCCTTAAATGGAAAATTATGGAACTGACTTGCTGCGCTCAACGCCCATTGTTGCAAATTTCTGGTTGTAACTTGCTGGTAATTGGCACTGGCTTCCATGAAGCGATCATACGTCCAGGAGTCAATGACGGCGTATTTATCTATAGTCGTTCCTCCATGTTTGATATCTTCTTTCCATCAATACAAATGCTTCATAGTTTTTAAACGTAAACATCCTCTTTTCTGTAGAGTTTTAAGACTCCACTTTGGATGCTCCTTGGCTATGTTGACGACCTTGATTTTGTATTCCAGAGGAATGTATTCCATTAATTTCGTTTTTTTTTTTTTTTTTATATATGTTGGTCGGAATCATCGTCTTGTACTTCATGAAATTGACATTCCTCATCAGATTCTTGCATAATTAATTCTTCTGTTTTCACGAATGTCTTATTGCCCAACATTTCAACGATGGATTCATACAGACTTTCGCCAATTTGTATTGCCTCGTGGGAAATTGTCCCAGATGATACCCGTGCCACAAGGTCATTTTCGAGGAGTAATTGTTCCAGATATACAATTGCATCTTTCAGCCGTAATTTCGACTCGTCACTGTGAAGTGAATTAG